TCAGTTATTGATGTATGTTGGATTTCAAGGGAGTCTAACAAGGTTGCGCATGTTCTGGCACGTTATGCTAAAACTGGCAATTTTTTGGCCGATTCTTTATGAAACTCGTTCTCGAATTTTTTAAACAATTGGTGTTGAACGAATTCTAGCAAATTCAATAATAAAATTACCTTTTTGTTAAAAAAAAAGAGTGTATTAAATCGATTGTACTTGTTGAATCTCATAGGATGCCTTTTTGTCATATCCAGATTAATTTCAATCCAAACATTGAACTTGGTAAACCACTAAAGGTGTAAGCAATTTGAATGGTTGGATGTGATGAAATTCTAATGACAGCTCAGACACAACCTTTTTGTGCACCGAGAGAACTAAAAAAAACTCCTACAAAAGTTTTTGTTTTTATTTATTTATTTATTTTTTTGGGTCCATTTCTTCATGGTGCATGACAGAAGCACAAAAGTAATACAATGGTTGCAGATAACGATGAATTGCATATCTTACTTGTCCATTTTCAAACACATACATCAAATTCTCACCTAATTCCAATCTTCAAGGAGGTAAAAGTCAAGAAAGGTGGGTCCAACACCACATCCTTTGATTTCCTCAAAAGAGAAGATAACTTGACACTTTCTCAGTAACTCTTAAGAATTAAGATTGATTGCCAGGGATTATCCTCTGGACTGTGCCTATTTCCAAATCTTGCATATGAATAAATTGAAACAAAAATAAAACTACTTTTCTTTGCTATAGAAAGTGTGTCAATCGGTTTTACAATTTGAATTTTGTAACGTACGAAAGTTGGAGGAATACAATTGTGTTTGGATAGTAAATTATTTGGGATAGTTTTAAAAAAATACTGTGATACTTTTTCTGATATAATGTTTGTAAAATAAATGGATGATTGAAAAATGCACTGATGATGTAAGCAGATAAATTTCTTGAAATAATCCACTATCCAAACAAATGTAACTCAATAATAAAGTTAAAGAATTTATGTTATATTTCATGAGAGGTGTCTATTCAATCTTCTTTGTGGATTCTACATCTTGAGGTAAATGCTATAAGCAGTTAATCTATCCATTAATTTCTTTAATAGTGATCCAGCAATGTAATTTACTCAAGGAGAAGTTATTTAGGCCCCTTTGGGATTGCTATCTTCTGGAGTTTTTATAGAAAAATGAATTGAAATGATTTGATGTATATGAAGTAAAAAGAGAATTGAAAAATATGTTCACAAAACATATAAAAATTTTTTAGAGGAACATATAGTTTTCCAAACAATGCCTTTTAGTAACTTTTCCAAAACACAATCAATCAATTTATAGGCTGGTCTGACTCTGCTAATAACAATTCACTGGATAGAGCAAGGATCGATTCAAATGGATACAGTCATTGTTGTGTAATCTTCCGGTGCATTTATCATATACTTGACTTTTACTACTGCTACAGTAACGTGTAACCCTTACCCTTTACGTGGTAGATGTGCTAAAAAGTTGTCTTGCACTTGAATCGCACAGTAAATCTAACATAAGAAACCTTGGTAATTAATGAATGAAAACAAAATGAATTTCATAAGGGTCGAATTAGCATATGTGAACTACTAGTATCTATTTACAATATCATCGTTTTATAAAAAAAAAATTGAATGACTATTCTAAGGAATAATAATAAAGGGTTTGTTTCTGGACACTCGATGAGATGTACTTATAGATTTTTTGAAATGTAAAATTCATCATGAAAGTGTATAAATGCAAAAAATGATCGTAATTATTCATATGTATATATATATGTATAGTATCTAATAGAGACTCGTTAAAAAAAAAATCTAATTTATCTATACTTCTCATAAAAATTGCATTTCAAACATTCTAAGTCGACATAAAACCACTCTTATCCATTTTGCATATGATACATAAGATAATTCTTGAAATAGAAGTATGTGTAAAATTGCCTTAACTAAACTTCTCTATGAAAGAATATGGGGGTAGTTACACCTTTTGTAATTAGTACTTGTATTATCAAATGTTAATATCTATAAAATGTTAACGTTTGTGGAAAAAAAAAATACTTCTCAACGAAAGAAGCTAAGGACTTGGAAAAAAGGGGCACATGACAGTGTGAAAACAGTCACATAATCTACACTCTATTGCTCCAAAATTTCCACGATTAACGTTGTATTGACCGACTTGTTTGACCTGGTATCCGTGCAATAGAAGTCATGGAAGCACATTTCAAACATAGCTTTTTCATGCAAGACTAGTATTACCTTTCTACGTAATGATCCAAAAGTGTATGAATTCCTACTCATAACTCATACGGCACGTACCAAAATGTAAAACTGATGATTGGACAGAAAAGAATTGCGACAAAATCATTATTGGTGTTAGAAAGATTCCTAATTATCCCTTTTTTGGGAATGAATTTTCAATGATTAATTATCACAGTGATTATTGCTTAAGCCGAAATCATTGACCAATTCTTCATATGGACATGTACAACAGTACAAGTTTCCTCATTCTCTAGGTATTATTCTCTCTCGACCGCCCCTGATTACTCCAAACACATGTATCACGTATGATGAAATTGATTCCCAATCCCGAGAGAATTTTTTTAAATTGTTCTTCACACGTTTCAAATAATCAATGTAACTTGATGGTGTAACCACAACATACATTTATATATAATCATTTAAAAAAGGTATACTTTCTTTCAAACATTTGTTCCCAATCTCTTATTGGAGCTTCGACTCCTCTCTCTCTCTCACACAACATATACACCAAATGCAAAGCTAATCGGATTCAACTTAAAGAAAAAAGGGTTGAAAAAAATTTCCCTTCTCATTAGAAAAATAGGATTAATCTTTCCTATGTAAACAATAAAATACAATAACGGGTATGAATGTATCATAAGTATTCTTAAATTTTATATATTTAATATGTTTTCAAACTCGCTAATGCATACACTGTTTGTTAGTGTATGAAAATTAATCTTGTAAAAGAAAGCAAACTTGTTGGAGACACTTGATTTGTTGTGTATTCTTTTTTGGACTGCCTAAACTAGCTCATATAATGATAAAAGGAATGTGTATCATATAATGAAGGGTAAAGTTCCTAGCATCTTTTTGAAATTTCCAGCAATGAATTTTTGACCTTTGGTGCCTAGGAAAAAATGTTGCAATTTGTGACATTACATGATATGCAATCATAAGGTCCACATTAAAACCAAAAGAACCAAAAAAAAAAAAAAAAAAAAAAAACCAAAGGAACACACGTGGATGGCTATAATTTTGCAATTTTAAATGTCATCAGACAACTTCATAAGATAATTATTAATAAATGGGTCAAATTCTAATAAAGCGCCCAAAACTAAAAGTGTTATGTTGACTATTGCACTTTAATGTTTTCCTTTTTCAGTTTTTGCTTGCTCCAACTTTTCTGTAGGACATTTTCCTCCTACTGTTATTCCATACAATTGATAGAGCAAAATCTGTTACATAATTGATTAAAGGTCTTGACTAACGAGTGTCCAAATCTACTATTGCCCAAAGATGAAATTCAGGTGTTCATATTTTGAAAAAATAATGTTAATTTGTATGATAGGTTAGTTGTATTAGGTGTATTAATGAGCGCCTATTGTACCCAAGAAAAACCCTTGATTAAATTGGAAAGTTCATAATGTATCAACTAATGACACAAACTCTTCTTAAGATGTGGGGGAATGACGTTGATCAAGTTTATTACAGCCTCAAGTTCCTCATTTAATTGGAAGTAAATTGGGAGGTATAGACCTCACAAGTTATTTAGTTAGCATTCCTTGTCACTTAAGTTTTTGTTTTCAATTCATCTAGAAAATAGAGACACAAAAATCTAGGTTAAGAAATATGCTTAGTGCAAAGTAAGAACCACAAAAGGTCAAGGATGCAAATTCGTATTTCCGAAAAAGAGGAAGAAGAAGAAGAAGGAAGCGAATTGATTGATTTACTACTGATATATAGTGTGGTGTTCTAGATTACTTGTCTTATTATAGTAAAAAAAAACTCAATAAACTAATTTTAATAATCAGATAGATCATTATTTTGATCATGGAACTTAATTACCTCAAAAGTCCACAGTAAGGCAAATGAAGAGGAATATTTAATTACTATTCTTTACTTCGGTTGCAAATGTTGAATTTTTACTTTGACATGGTTTGCACCGTAACTTTGTTAATGTGTTCGAGTTAAATCCAATAATTGACAATTCCAATGACAAATGCATGAAAAGATCACATAGTTAGCATAGTCATGAATTTAGGGACTGCCCATCTTAAAAGACTTCTCAATGTGGGGAGGAGTAGCAATTGCCATAACCAATTAGCTAGTGAAAGCAACTTAGTTAAATTAAGCCATCAGGTTATCCAATTATTGCCATCTTTAAATCAACAGCACACTTTTAAAACAAATTTCTTCAACATATTCTATTTTTTTATGAAAAATAATCTTTTTTTTTTTGTGCTTGGGTTGATAATATGCAGAATAATTTAAGGAGACATTATTGTTTACATATTTTTACCTCTAGATGAGAGTAATACTGTAATATTATTAATGGGATAGTGTTTTTCATCTTCCTTCATACAATAAACTCTCACTGCTATAATATTACGTTCATAAGAAATTCTAACATTTATGATGTATTTGCCTATTACACATTTAAAAAAAATGACATCTCACTTTTCTCAGCCTCAAAGTTAAGACTAATTGCTTCACAATTCTCACCTACTCATATTTTGTGCTTCTTTTCAACATTGAAATATAACTGACCTTATATGTACTGAAAAATTTAGTCCATTTAGAACTGGTTTGTAATTAAATCAATTTGGATGGTACAAAAAATGCACAAAGATGATTTATTAAACAGAAAAAAAAAATACATTATCACAACATTCTTTGGATCTATAAGATTGACAACAAATAAGCAAGAGACAACATATTAATTATATCTTGTATCTAGTGTAGCTTTAGCCTAGTAAATGGGAGTGTAAATGAAACTCAAGTGACTAACAGCTGAAGTAAAGCCTCCATCAACCACAAGATTGTGGCCTGCTATGAATCCAGATTCATCACTAGCCAAAAACAACACAGCTTCTGCAACATCTTCAAATTTACCACCTCTTCCTTTCAGAAGACTTGCCCTTTCACCTACGATCTCATGAGTAACATCTTCAGGTTTAATATCATCCTTCCCAAGCCATACCCTATAGGCATCCAACAGCATTTCAGAAGGGATCCCATGAGGCGAAATGCAGTTTACGCGAATCGGATGCATTCCCAGCTCACAAGCAGTGGTTTTTGCCGGTCCAAGAATTGCATTTTTTGATGCTGTATAGGGATGTGAAGCTAGACCTCCCAGGATGGCTGCTGAGCTTGATGAACAGATAAGGCTGCCTCCATTTTTCCCCGAGATCATCGCCCTCGAAGCATGCTTGATTCCATGGATGATGCCATACAGATTGATGGAGAGGACGGCTTTAACATCTTCCATGTCGAGATCAGAGATGCTTCCTCCAGGGCCGCCAATTCCAGCATTGTTGAACATGATGTCTAGTTCGCCTTTCCATGCTAAGGCGAATTCTACGGCTGCTTCGACATCTTTTTCCTTTGAAACATCACAATGTATGTAGCGCCCTCCAATTGAAGTAGCTAAGTGTGATCCTAGTTCATCTAGTACATCAGCAATGACAACATAAGCTCCATTCTTGGCAAATAACTCTGCTGTGGCACCTCCAATTCCTCTTGCACCACCGGTTATGATTGCAACTTTTCCCTCAAGCCTAGACCATCCAAAAGAAAAAAAAAAAAAGGCAGGGCAATTAATTAATGACTAAGAAATATTACTAGGAAGATCAACTGTATTTAATTAACCTGTTTGAGGATGAAACTTGTCGATCAAACATGTTAGAATCCATTTCTTGATGAAGAATGTCAAGAAAGTGTTGAAAAAAAAATTATGTATTTATATAGGGCCTCCTACTATGATATCTAAAAACCTAGGGCAGATAAAGAAAAGTCGTGACACAATTAATTTGTTTAAGAACTATTTTCCCTCTTCACAACTTTCAAATGTACAACTAAATTCTACCTAAAATAATCTGTCTCCTAAAATGGAGTTTAAAATTCCAGACTGGAGATGTTTCCTCAATGTACACAGGAGAATGGCAAAGAATGCCTTCCATCTTCGTCAATTTTGAAGGCTAAATTGAAGGGAATTGTGCCGCAAAGGCCAACTTTTAGCCTTAACCATTTGAGAAACGAAACTCCAATGAGAATCAAGAAAGACCCCTTTTCAGTTTAAAAAAATCGGATATTCCTAAAAAAAAAAAAAAAAAATCAGACATTCCTAAAATTGTTTTTTAATGAGTATTAGCAAATTCCCACTTTTTTTTCCCTAATATTTCATAATCATGTTCTTCACCATCAGAGTTCACAAATGCCTCTTTCCTTTTGTTTCCAACTTTGAGATTCTTTTAGCATCTGGGCTGAATAAGATTGGTTTTTATCTTCCAAAAATTAGATAATATCTTTGAGGGTATGCTTTCAAAATAAACCGGATTAAAGGAATGGTAATGGTATTAGCATTATAAGATTGTAAATTTTAAATAAATGGTTGCTGCCTTTCTGATAATTAATTAAATCTGAAGTGTATATCACGTAGCAAATTTTTGAGACCATAATCAAACTAAGCAATCTTTATCTGTTTTCATGGGCTCCATTCAACAAATACAATTAACTTTGTGGACAATTTTTTCATAGTCTTTGTGATTTTTTTTTTTCAATAGTCTTTGGAACAAACCCACAAGTTTCCTCATTCTCCATGTCACTCGGATTAGATAAAAATGGGATTCTGATTGGGAAAGACTTTCATGTTGTTCTTCCCTGCACAATTCCAACATTGCACCCAAGATAGAGCAGGAGAATCAAATAAGTAATATTTCTGCTATTAAGAAATAAAATACCACGTAGCACCTCCAAATATTAGATGATATGCACATGAAAAATTCCTGCAATTTATCTATTGGAACCAAAAATTTAATGGTGTAATTGTCTTTTCACAATTGAAAGAGACACAATTCGATTTACACCAAACAAGAATTACACTTCGAGGGGTAGTTTGTCTGTTATCATGAATACAGGGGGTAAATTGTAATTAACTTTCGATTAGAGGGAGACAAAGATGTGTTTAAGCCTTTTTCTGAAAAGATAAATATGATACTAATTCCTTGACCAAAGAAAAATTATTGACTGGGTGGCGACAGGCCACATCTATCTTAATTGAACTTTGACAAATTTTTCTCACACACCACATGCAATATTAAGTGGGATGTCGTGTATTAGTTTTTTAATGTGATATATGTGAACTAAACGGGTCAATAATAGACAGAAGGATGAATCAATGGTTAAGAAACATGATTAAGAAATAATCAAGAAAATTTCCAAATAATATTAAAAAAAATTCAAAGATTAAATGTCAATCGCAAACTTGTTGAAGGCAGCCTGGATCATTCATCAGACTTTCTTGTTTGAATTGCCTACATGGACATGTTTTGTATGACGCAGATAGGGCATAAATTTTTGAATAAATTTTACATATACTGTCATTGTATATATTATTACGATTGAATGGATAACACATCAAATTTAAATTTTGCACATATATCATACACTAATGATGACAGTATATTCACGAACAGTATATATATATAAGATTAATCCTAAATTTTTTTACCTTTGGTGCCTAGAAGAAACTGTTGTGATTTATGGCATTATAGTACATGCAATCACACGTAAAACCCGGAGGTCAGCATATGGAAGAAATATTGTTGTCAGCAGAAACTGCCGATGTTTTTACCTAGCTTATGGAAATTAACCTTTATCAATGAGGCAATTTTGCTTTTTCGGTGCAGTAATAAAATGATATTTACTCATTTAACTGATTAAAGAAATTATGTTTTTCAACACGACTGTTTCACAATTTGTATCTTGCCAATTTTTGTGCTTCTTTTCTTTTAAATTCAAAAAGACGACGACAAGTTTCCCAGTACGAGCAAATGGTGTAAAATAACATGTGGATAACTATAAAAATAAAATAAAATTGACAGTTCCAATGTCAGTTGAAAATTCACATAAATAGTTCCCGTTTAGTGATACATTAACCCTTCCCCATCCCTAACTATCAGGCAAACAAGGAATACCCAAAATTGAAAGGCCTTTCCACCTAAAGTACATTTCCATCCAGAATGGTAGGAAAAAAAATTTATTATTCCAGGATTTGATAGACAAGCCACAATGGAATGTATTTTCAGTTTTCAATGTTTTGTATAATTAATAGTTAGATTTCGGAATGGAATATACTAAATACAAATTTGACTTAATTACCCTATATTAGTTTATAGGACGTAATATATCTTATTGCCTTTTGTTTTATTTGTTCTATAACAGTATTTGTCTATTTACGTGAAATTTTGATATTTTAACTTCAAAATGAATGAGGATTGATATCAAAATTCTTCATTGTGATACTTGATTTATTCTAATATATAGATTTTTAATTTAAAATTTTGCATTTATTAGCAATATGATTAGCAATGTAAAATATAAATTAAATGAAGTCAAATAATTATATTTTATTTATAATCTATTTTCAATTTTGATGAGATTCAAAAAAAATTCTTACACAATTTTTCAAAAGTCAAAAAAATAAAGTATTTTAAACCATTTGTTTCTTAATACAAAAGAAAATGTTATATTAATTATTATGAAAATTTGCATTTAAAATACTAATTGAGCTTACAAATAGCCTAAGATATTACGATGCAATATAAAGATTTATAAGGATAAATTTGACATCCTACTTTTTAGGCATTCTAGGACGAAGGTGGAAAAGACTTTTCCTAAATCTTTTGAGGATTGGAATTCCAAAAAAAAAAAAAAGTTAGAATGATTATTTTAAGGAAAAAGGATTTTTTCACTTAAATGAACCATATCAAACGTTGGAATGAAATGGATAAGTTGAAAAAATCTTTCCTTTTCATGCCATTCCTACGTATCAAACAAGGCATAAAAGTCATTATTCCCTGATTACTGACCCGACCCAAGTGACTGTTTAGTGATGCATATCCATACTTAGTTGTTCACAAATAAATGCCAATCCAGATTTCCAGCAGCCTCAGTGATCATAAAAAAAATTATGGATGATTAAATTTCTAAATTTGCTAATACAAACGTCATTAGGCCGTGATATAAGTGGATTAATTTGCACCATCCTTTATATATTTTATGTGAATAGCAAATTAACATTTGCATGTCAAAGTTGACGAAATCCCAGAGATGCATATGACCCACAATTAATACCCCAAAAGTTAAACAATAAGTAATCAATCTAATTCCATGCAATGTTCATAGACAGTGGTACCTTTCAATCACACATCTCACCTAATTCTTAACCTCGAGCTCGAAGAGTCAAGAATTGTGGACCCATTTTAATCAATGATTGTTCATTCCTAGAACTAGAATGATGACATGTATGTGAATATCTATAATAATCTATCCATTAGTCTTTGAATTCAGGCCACACCAATAATTTTATTGAAAGATACAGAAGCTTTAATTTTGCACTTTTCTTTTTTGGCCCATAGCATTAAATTACACTTTGAAAATGATGTTTACACTCATCGGGAACCAATTTTAATTTCTTTTTCCTTAGGTCATATATTTTTGAACTCCCTTTTTTCTGGTTCAGAAGCAGCATAATTAATAAATCTCAATTATAAAATAGAGTTGTAGGCTTAACATGTGAAAAATAATTTTGTTGGAAAAAGTAAATTTAGATTGCTATTTTTCTAAAATACTCTCACTTAAATATGGTAAACGCTATAAGAACTTGAATTGATGGTAAAAAAGAATCAACTCTCATTAAATGTGGTAGGTTTATAGTAACAATTACTTACATTGAATAAGGGTATTTTAGAAAAATTAAAATACAACTACATTCTTCAATTGGAAAGTGGACTACAATTTGGAACAGATGAATAAGGAATACAGGACTATCAAAGTGGGACGGAGGGAGTAAAGATTTTCCTATCAGGTGTTCGTTAGGCACTTATTAATACACTTTATTTACATTAAAATTACATTTTCTGCCCTTGCACATGAACACTCTCCGTATTTAATTTCAAATTTTCACCAACAAAAAAAAACTAACACATGACATTTTTTCTAAATGTCTTAAAAAAAATGGATTCTTGTTCGACAAATTCATTAACAAAAACTACATTAGTATGTTAGCATAATCAAGATGTGGAAAATTATCAACACCTCTAGCTAAGCCAATGTAGAAAAATATTTCATCCCATATTGCTTCTACACATGAAAATAATAGGCATGGGCATCAAATTATGCCACAATTCGATTTCCTAGATTATTTGGGCTCAACTATTTGGATAATAGATTATTTGGGATATTTTTAAAAAAATTTATGCAGTACTTTTTTAATGTGATATATATCTGAAATAAAAAGATAACTGAAAAATATGTTGATAATGTAAGCAAATAAAAAAAGAGTAAATAATTCACCATCCAAAAAAAAATCCATTGTTTGTTATTATTATTATTATCATTTCTTTTAATGTATTCATGAGTATAAAATCGTGCAACTTACATAATAGTCATCCGGTTGTCCTCACAGGCGCATATTCACGTCGGCACCTATGCAACAGTTACTGGGGGTAAAGGAACTTTAGAAGTAGAAAAAAAGAAGCGCTGAAAGTCAATCCACGTGTACAATTAACTAACAAATTGTCACCCAATTTCACTCGTGCGTGCATGTACTTACTTCGCCATATATGAAATTTAGTAGTTTCGTGAGACTTTCTTGTCGACATAAAAGTCATGATGTACGGTTATATGAAAT